GAAGTATTTCAAGAGGTAATTCCTTTTATTTTTTATTTTAAAGATTTTATTTATTTATTTGACAAAGAGAGACACAGTGAGAGAGGGAACACAAGCAGAGGGCATGGGAGAGGGAGAAGCAGGCTTCCCGCAGAGCAGGGAGCCCGATGCGGTGCTCGATCCCAGGGCCCTGGGATCATGACCTGAGCTGAAGGCAGACGCTTAACAACTGAGCCACCCAGGTGCCCCAAAGTAATTCCTTTTAAAGAGAGGGGATGATGGCTTAATTTTCTCATTGTGACCTTTAGCCAGAAGCTCTGAAGTAAAGCTTCCATCTAAAGATGAGGACCCTGAGGCCCAGAGATTCAATGACTTATCCAAGGATCTACTGTTTATACTGACAGAGGTGGAATTTGAATCTAGGTCTCTACTCCGGCAAAAGAAAACTCTTCTCCACATGCAAGACATTTGTGATCTATTCAGCAAACATTTATGTGTGCTTATGTTAAAGACTCCATCAAACTTCAAACTCTGATCTTTATTTTCAGAAATGGCTTTAAAACTATTAGAAAAGTATGAAAAAACGGAGCCAAAAAGATTTCTTGAGTGCCCACTTAGGGACAGTGGAATTGTGCTAGAGATTGTAGGGGGTTTTGAGAGTATCAGATTTGAATGCTGTCATAAGGAACTCTGACATGCCTAGAAATTATTATAGCACAAGGTGGAAAAGGCAGATGCCACAAGGAAGATGTAGATGAAGGTCAGAAGAAGAAGGTATTATTTTTTGCTGGAGAGATCAGAGCAGGCATCATGAAGGATGGGTATTTTAACTGTATCTTGGGGAGATGAAGAAAAATGATATTCCACGTAGAGTGAACACCGTATTTTTGTTTATTTATTTATTTATTTATTTTTAACTTGGTAAAGGATTTATTTTTAACTTGGTAAAGGTGATTCTAAAACTCACAAGAAAAACTCTCTTTATCAAAACAATAGAACTCATAAAAATCTTCAGAAGATGGGTGTTACTTTGATGACAATGACCTTGTGTGGCTCTCTGAATATGTTCTTCACCTATCTAGAGACGTTTTTCTAAGCCATGGACCTTGCTTTCATCATTTAACACATCATTCAAACCACTTCAATAAAACAGGGATCATGCTGAAGAGGGATCTCAGAGGACTAGATGACACTCCAATTAACCAAGCACATCGAGCCAGATTGTTCTATGCCTCAGACTCAAGAGACTGGCAGAGAGAGGAGGCAAACAAAGGCAGAAAGAGCGAGGACCCAAGTGAAAAGAGCAAAATGCATGTGTTAAAGATGGGCTTTCAGTCTGACTCCTGCAGAAAAACCTGTCAGAAGATTATACACCACCAACCTTAATAAGGTTTATAATAACTTGCCAGATAGAATCACAAACCAGAACATGTACTTGTAGAGCATACTCAGTGAGAATAAGAACATTATAGGACTGGCCTGGTGCCTTTTTAAATGTGTATGCATTGCTCTGGGTACTGCAAGTGCAAGGCTGGAAGAGGGTGTATGCTGTCTTCTTTTTTGACCCAAGGAGGGCCAATGGAAAAAGCCAGCTTTTGCAAAAATGTCGTGACTTAAATGACCCAAGAATATGAATGGAATAATTAATTAGTGAAAACAACAGTGGGGCTTCTCTCCTCAAGCCATTCTGTGGGAAGAGAGATACACACTGGGCTGCCTGTGAAATTAAGAAATTGTGCCCAAAAATGTTTTGGGTATACTCCTCTCCCCTAAGGATTAGATAACATCATCAAACTTGGTAAAACAAATCTCTTATTATGGACCAATTTTCATTTTAAAGTCTAGCCCTGAAGTCTTGAATGGCAACTGCCAGGGTGAATTGTCCGAAAAATCACCGAGTTAACTGAATCATCACGAGCTTCCTAGAAGAGTCAAATATTCTGGGAAGCAAGATTAGTTCTCCTAGTTTGTCCTAGTTTAGTTCAGGAATTTTGTATCTTTGTCAGTGTGTCTTACTTCTTTTTTTCTTTTCTTCTTCTTCTTCTTCTTTTTTTTTTTTTTTTCATTTCCACTGATTTCTGTCATGAAACTTCAAGGAAGAAGGGCAATTCTACGTGGATTCTTTTTCCCATTACAAAGTGAGGCCATACAAACCCTGCACATGGTAAGGGACTTTATTTGGCTTCATAACTAAACCACATGAGGAGAACTACAACACATTTAAAGATCTGAGTTGAAAACCATAAACAAAAAAACACAGAAAAGGGGCCAAATTCTTCTCATCTAGTAAAACTGCCATGCTCTAGTGAAGCTGAATAATCTCATTTTTTCCCTTCTTAAGGGTAATCTCCATGTTTATGTTATTTCTGCCAACTCCAAATACTACATACAGCTGACAAAATCCTCAAAGAGACCCATCTTATCCCACAGGGACGCTGAACGGAGAGGAGATGGGGCAGTTCTGGCCCTGGATAAAAGTAGTCTGATATTAAAGATTCTTTGCTTAAGGCACAAATGTACCTGTCTGTGACATTTTTAATGGCACATTTTAGTGGCATGTAGCATCATCTTTTATGAACAAGTGTGTGAGAGGCCTTGTTATGACCCCCATGGGGACTGTGACAGCACATTAACGAGGGGAGAGCAGTATGGAGAAGGCAAGCAAAGGTGAACCTCGCTATTTTAGGAGTTTAAAACAATGAAGGCAACTTCTGATTCCTGCATCACCAAACCTCAGGGAAGGATTGAGAGTTTATGGGACTTGCAGGGGGCAGAGGTAGAAAGGATAGAAAACTCTAGTTCCCGTTTCGTCTCTAGTTCATTCTTGTGTAATTTCAGAAAAATTCCTTTGCTCAGTTTCCTGTATTTTTATCTCATCTGTTTCTTTACCACCAGTACCCTAGGGGAATAAAATGACTCAAAACACCTTGAGGAAGGTACCCACACAAATAGGAAGTGAAATGGCCTAGGGGAGACCTTGCAGGCTCTGACACTAGATCTCTCCTGAAGTGTTCACAGAGATCTACCTTAGAATGTGCTCGGTGATGAGGAGGAGTTCTTCCCTCTTTTTCTTCTTTCTCCCAGTGGCAAACTCTTCAAGACCAACCCAGCTCAACTGTCAACTCCTTTGAGAAATCCTGCCTCTCCCCTAGCCCTGGGGCTCAGGGTCCTCTGGAAACAGCTTTACTGAAGATGCTGCTCTTCACCTCATGTTATGTCACACTAAGGTATATCATCATCCAAGTCACTCAGCTCTAGAGTTGATGTAGAAAGTTAAAGAAAGATAATAGACTGCTTAGAGTCATAGAATGTTAGTCTGGAAAGGGGCTTAGAGATCATTATCTTACAGAGGAAGAAATGAGGCCCAGTGAGGGACACTGGCTTGCACAGGACACCTAGAAAACCAGTAGCAAAGGTGAAATTGCTCTCTCTGTCTTTCATTCCCAATCTGGGATTCTTATCTCTATACCACGTACTTCTCAAATGTTCTACATTCCATCTGGTCGTTTATTAAATGCATTCAATGACAATGATTTAAACATGCAAAGGAAATTTATGTAACGGCAAGGCCTGAGCTCCACAAATCAAAAGTACTAGTTTCCTCCGAAACAAGTTACCTGAACAAGCCCTTCAGGATTCTGTTGGGAAATTCTGTTATGGCTTCTGTCTGCCGTTATTGCTAACCTCTCAGCTGATGCACACATATTATATTTCCTCTTAGATTCTCTTTTATGAAGAAGCAGAAGAATATGGTTTAACAAACACTGACTACTTTATTTTTGCTTTCTATAGTGCGGGTGAATTGAGTCTAAAGATATTTCCTTATAAATTCAACTGCATTCATGCATTACAAAAATCACAGAGAAAGTATTTGACCCCAAAAAAGGTGATAAAATCATGATTGCAACTCTGTCTGTGATCTTATTTAAGGAATCCTTTCTAGTTTTTAAAAAGCCCTCCTTTCTCTGAATCAATGTATGTGAGAAACAAATCTTGAAGTACTGGTGAGTATCCAGATTCTATACTAGTATAATTCAGCCAGATGTCCTTTTTTTTTTTAATTTTATTTTCTTATGTTATGTCAATCACCTTCTTTTTTTTTTTTTTTAAAGATTTTATTTATTTATTTGAGACAGAGAGAATGAGAGAGAGAGAGCACATGAGAGGGGGGAGGGTCAGAGGGAGAAGCAGGCTCCCCGCCAAGCAGGGAGCCCGATGCGGGACTCGATCCAGGGACTCCAGGATCATGACCTGAGCTGAAGGCAGTCGCTTAACCAACTGAGCCACCCAGGCGCCCGTCAATCACCTTCTAATGGAAACTGTATACATTTCCTTACAGATCAATAGTCATTGTACAGAAACCTTAGCACGGAGTTCTACCGGGGCTACATGTAGCGCACTAAGATGAAGTCCATTCTAAATACAGCTCTAAAGAGTAAAGACATTAAAACTGTGCTAAATACATACCCTTCATCCTCCCCCAGATCATATCATGCCCCATTCCCCAACACACGAAATGACTATATTGGAGCAAGGTGGTTTCTTCTTTCTAAACATACAGTACTTATACATCCAAATGAGTAGGGCTATATTCTTTAAAGTAATCACCTTTGGAAGTCATATATGCTTTCCAACAAGGCCACCATTACACAGAACTTCTCTGGAATCTTTCTTTTATTATAATGCAGGCTCTCCAGATTTAGTGTGCATAAGGATCACCAGGGAACATGTTAATAATGCAGATTCTTAGAGATTTGGATTTAACTAGTTTTAGAAGGAGTCTGGGAACCTATATTTTTAAGAAGCTCTCCAGGAAAGTTTTATACAGGTGATGTGTGAGAAACAGCACCTCGGAATAGTCTGCACAAGCCATTCAAGGATATCAAAAGGATTCTGGAGTTAAACTTGGTGTACACATACACATAACACATTGGAGGTTTATTATTATTTTTTTCAAAATCTTCATTCTTCCTGGTATTAGGGCAGATATACATAGAAGCATCTATTTGCAAACAACATACCTCCATGAAAGAGATTCCTAAACTCCAGACATCAGAATGGATTCCATACTGCTCCCCTGAAATTCTTTCAGGCTGTAAGAAAACAGAAGCTGGTGAGTTGATGTGAGCTACTCCAGGAAACACTAACATGAGCTCAGCTAAGGCAGAGAGCCACCAACATTTTGTGGCACTTTATGAAGCACAAAACAATTGTGTGTGTGTGTGTGTGTGTATGCATAGGTGTATTATACAGGTAACATACAGAAACGATATAGGTAATACGGATAGATACCATCTCACTGAATCCTCACAAAGTCCCTGTGAGGAAAACTTTATTATCTCTGTTTTACAGATAAAGAATATGGAGGCTCAGATTGGTGAAATCATTTAGGCAAAGTCCTCATGAGCTGAGACTTGGACCCAGGTCCTCTCCCTCCAAATTCAGTGGTCTCAGCTGTGAAGTGACAAACTACACAACATTATATAATGTTATCACTTATTTGCACTTTAAAAAAAAAATATTTTATTTATTTATTTGACAGAGAGAGACACAGTGAGAGAGGGAACACAAGCAGGGGGAGAGGGAGAAGCAGGCTTCCCGCCAAGCAGGGAGCCCGATGCGGGGCTCAATCCCAGGACCCTGAGATCATGACCTGAGCCGAAGGCAGATGCCCAATGACTGAGCCACCCAGGCGCCCCTTATTTGCACTTTTGAGAGATGGGTCTGGATCACTAGGGATTCTATTTTTATTTTTTTAACTTTTCATTTGGAAATAGTTTCAAACTTACAGGAAAGTTGAAAAGCTAAGATTAATACAAAAGACATCCGTATTTCCTTTGTCCAGATTCACCTATGGTTCAACATTTTATTCCATTTATCAGGGTTTCTTTTGATATGAACCGTAGAACAGTTTGAAAGGTCCATTTGGGACAACTGGTTCTCCATTCAAGACGTGTAGCAAATACCTGGTTTAGAAAGCCACAACATGCACACTCTCTACTTCAACATGAATAGTTTCATAGTGAAGTGGGTGCTGTCTGGTGTCTCTATCCCACCAGGATCTAGCATTCAGTATCGTACTTCACAGAATCTTTTGAATGAACACAGGAGCACACGAATAAGAGAAACCGAAGTCTCACGGCGTTGGAATGGTCGCTCAAGGTTACAGAGCTAGACGTGGCAGGGCTGGGATCATAACCCATGCCTCCTGGCCCTCAGGGCACCATTCTGTTCATGGGTCCACCCCTGGAGTTCCTGGTGGCCACCGCTGGCATCAGCCTTCGGGAGCTTTCATGGGAGCCCTGAAGAGTACCTGGGGCCAGGATCAGCCTGGTCCACTGCACATGGGGGAAGTAGGCATCCACCACTCACCAGCAGGGGATATGCCAGGGGAGTGGAAGATGTAAACCTGGTGCTCTCAGGTGATTGGCACAGTCCTACATCCCGGTGAGTTGGCTTAGCTGGGACCCAGAACTTTGTGATCTACTTTCTGCCCACACCTATCAGGCTACCTCAATATACTTATTGCCTTCTCCTGGGACCACTTGCCCTAACATTACATAAAGCCCTGTCCTGAGGTAGCAGGATGGATCGTCTTATTTCCCTTCCTTTATTTATTTCTTTAATTTATAAAACCACTTTCCCACCAAGAACAATTCTTCCCAAGGGCCAAATGTCATGTGACCATCTCTCCCAGTTGCTATAGACACAGTCATTCCAATTCCCTAGTACTTTTACGTTCAAATCCCCTACACCATCATTTTGAAGTTCTTGTTCATGCATGAATGAACCCATTATCCAATTCCACTTAGTTCAATAGGTACTAGGATGAAAGCAGCCAATTAGTTACAGGAGTATCATCATCATCAACACCATCATCATCATCATCAACAACAAGACTACTGCGTGCATTTACTGAAGAATTTCCATATGCTTGGCATTAAGTGCTGTTCATGCATGTCTCATTTCAGATTCATAAACACCCATATTAGATTGGTACTATTACCATCCCCTTTTAACAGATAAGGAAAAGGAGGCATAGAGAGGTTTAGTTTGCACCCACTATATAAGGACAGTAATAGCTATCACGTAATGACCAACGAGTATACGCCAGACACTGGACTAGATACTTTGCATCCTCTACGCCTTGGGACAATCTTGCAAAGTTAGATATTATTGCCCTTGTTTTACAGGTGTAAAAAAAAAGATTAAGTGACTTGCTGAAGTCTAGAGCTGTGGGTCAGCATTAGGTGTATTTGTTTAGGAACACAGCCAGGATTCAAACCCAGGTATGTCTGAATGCAAAATCAGGGTTCTTCTAGTGTGTCACACTGTCCCCAGAACTAGAAGTCAGAAGAGCCACACACTAATCTCGATCTGGTCAGTATTTCTCAAAATACAGCCTTCAGTATTCATTTAAAAAAATAATTTCTCTGGGTGACTCTTTGGTATACTCAGCCTCAGTCCCTAAACATTTCCACATTCCCTGCAGAGGCAATGACCTGTCTTACTCCTCTCTGCTTAGTGAACGTTGCTTTTATAAAGGCCCTGCTCATGGACTACCTGTTTGGTGAAATGTTCCTCTACTTCTCAGGAAGAATTACAAATTCTTGCCTCTGTCCTTCATGAAAATGTTGGTTGTATCTTTAATATTAATTCATTACACTGTGATGTAACCATCCGATTACTAGCCTGTTTCTCCTAAGAGGCCAAGAGAGTGTCTTATTCATCTCATACCTAGTACCACGGCTGACACACAGCTGGTAAGCAGTCAAGGTATTTTGCCTTGAAGGGATGCAATACATGTTTACTGCACATTTGGTTTAAAGCATGTATCAATTATTAAGTCCCCTGGAGTGTTCTACTAATATAACTTCCCCAGTAATATTGCTATCCATGCCCATCAAGAACATCCAGCAAACATGAAAATCCTAAAATCTGCCAGAATTCTTAAAGAAATAACCAAATGTTGCCTTCTTCCCTGTTTCTTCTCTCCTTACTCTCTCCTTTTCTTCATTCCCCTAGCTGACAGTTATCACTATCTAGCACTCATGCAGAGTACAGGAGTACACAACAAGCAAACAAATGCAAGTGGAGCCCAGATACAAAATATTTTGGCAGGATCAACAATAAGATTAAATATTAAATTCATAATATTTGCCCACTGAACTATCAAAACAAATGTAAACTGGAAGCTGAAAATAAAGCATAAAAAAATCAGGGTACCTGGGTGGCTCAGTTGGTTGAGCATCTGACTCTTGGTTTTGGCTCAGGTCATGATCTCAGGGTCATGAGACTGAGCCCCATGTCAGGCTCCATGCTGGGTGTTGAGCCTGCTTAAGATTCTCTCTCTTCCTCTCTCCCTCTGCCTGCCCTCCCCCTGCCAGCTCGTGCATGCTTTCTCTCTCTCTCTCAAATAAAATAAATCAATCTTTAAAAAAATAAAGCATGAAAAAATTAAATTAAAAAGAAAAAAATAAAGTGATAATGGTCACAGGTGGCAAATAAGAGGGCTCCTTAAGGACGAGATTCTGATAACCTCTCATTGGAGAAATAGTTCTTGCAATAAGCTAATAAAATGAGATCACTGTTGTGATGCTGTGCTCAAGCATGAATGCTCAGTGAAAGTAGGTAGCCAGCTCTACGGGTCTACCTGAAGAACTGGTACAGTAGATAAAGACTGGGAAATGCGCCCAGGCCCCTGAAACAGACACAGGCACAAGATGAGCCCCAATCCACTCTGAATTTAGGGAGCCAGGACTTGATGGCCCGAGGCTGCACAATTCAAATCTGTTCTCACACTTGAAGCCAAGGTGGCCTGCCCTGTCCTCTCCCGTCTAAAACAAAACAAAACAAAACAAAACAAAACAAAACAAAACAGAAAACCAACCACCAGGTACCACGTTACTGACAGAAGATCTGTGATGGACATTTTGCAGTTAAAAATCAAAAGCTGGGTTACTTTCTGACATGGCAGCAGTCACCAGTGTGGAAAGCTAAATAAGAGGAATAACATGACTCCCGTCTCAAGCACCTCTGTACTGAGGTTTAAGTGTAGGGAGGGAAGATTCTGGTCTGTTCTTAATGAGAACAGTAGGGAGTGGTGATGGAATAAAAAGCAGAGTTTATAGAGGATCTGAAAGGGCAGTAGCTCCAAGCTGCACAATGCACTCCTTCCAGCTACACTCTGTGACTTGTTATTTATCCAGGACCCCTGTTTAGCTGGACTCCCTCCAGAACTGTCTAGGTACAACAGGATTCACTTGTCAAAAGCAGGAAGATAGCAAGGGACATCCCTTATCTCTTCTGATAAAGAATTTCTGCTCAGGGTTACACAACTCAAAAAATTAACAAAGTATGCACAAATACTTGAGGTTAGTAAATAATCAAAATATATATTACAAACAATGGGGAATTCTTTTTTTTTTTTTTTTAAGTTGGCAAGATCCCTGTGGGTAGTAAAGCATACTAGTCAGACCAGGGTTCTGGAGTCATACTGCTCTAGCTTAATCTATCTTCCACGTCATGAATTCTCTCTTCTGCTATATCCCATATGCTACCAAGTAGTGAGTTTTTACATTTTAATCTAGTAGTTTTGCTTGAGATTTTCTCCATCTACTATGTCACTTTTAAAATCTGTGATCTGAAGTCTGTGTGTATCTGTTGTTCCTTCTGGTTCTTCTTCATGTTGTCTTGTTTCCTTGTGTGCCTGGTTTCTGTTGACTACTTGCCAGGTTTTGCTCTTGAAAGCATTTTGGAGAGATTCTCTGGGGCTTAAGGTAGATGTGCCTACCTCAAACCAGGTTCTTAGCATGAAGCTCCTTTTCCAACTCAGGCCATGAATATAAATACTTGGTGCAAATCTGTGTCAGAGTTAGTCTATGGCCGCAACTTTCCCCCTTTTCCTTTTCCCTTGCTTCTCTGCTTGGCTCTGAGAGGCCTTCTTTTTTGTTCCTTGGGACTGGGGGAGGAGGAGGAGCAGCATCTTTGGCTCTGGTTCACTCTTCACACTGAGGGCGAGCCCTTCAGATTTCTAACATGATATGGAGAAAATCTCCTCTGAGATCGATAGAGAAGATCTCCTCCTCCTCTGAGACCCTCTGCCTTAGGAGGACCCCCAGAGCATTCACAGCTGTGGTGCTCCAACATTCTGCTTTCCCCTCTGTTGCAGGATTCCATCTGAAAATTGTCCTGGGGGATCCCCTTTGTCTTTTTAGCTCTTCAGTGAATTTGAGATGAATTTTAAAGTATTTTACCTAGCATTTTTCAATTGAAGAGGTGGTCCAAATAGCCCAACCTGCTGTTACCAGAAACTAGAAGGTGGTGTCCTAATTAAATCTTGACTCTCACTACTTGGTCCACTTGAGACCCTGGGATGAATTCACTTCACCTTCAGTTTCATTATCTGTAAAATGAAGACAATAATAATATGTATACTTCATGGGGCTGTGTGAAGATTAAGTGAATCCACTCGATGTGCTTGATTCAGTACCTGTCACATGGGAATGCTCAGTAAATGCCAGCTTCCTTCTGATCACCAACACTGCTATGACCATCACTGCATGAACATGGCCAATGTCGCTGTATTATGTCATCTGTATAGGTTTCATTCTGGGTAAAGGTAATTTCCCAGGACAAGAACAGCCCAGGTGGGAAAAATGTTCAGGAGATAAGAACAGTCATTTTGATGCACTTTCTTTTTAAAAGACTTTATTTATTTGAGAGAGAGCGAGAGAGTGTGTGTGCGCATGAGCAGGGGGAGGGGCAGAGGCAGAGAATCTCAAGCAGACTCCATGCTGAGCATAGAGCCCAACGCAGGGCTCCATCTCACGACCCTGAGATCATGACCTGAGCTGAAATCAAGAGTAAGACACTTCGCTGACTGGGCTACCCAGGTGCCTCTTGATGGACTTTCTGATCACAAAGCACAAATATTTGGGTAAGATTTTAATTTTAAAACTATTCATAATAATGTCAAACTTTTATATTTGATCAAAATATTATAATAATAAACAAACCACAATGACTGAACAATGGGTTGAAGTTTTAGGGACTTCTAGGTTTAAAATAGACTAAAATTTTTAGTAATTAGAATATCTGAGAAATGGTTTAATGTGAGCCCCCAAAGCCTTCTCAATTTCTCTTGTAATCCTGTGGGATGAGGTCTTTTTAAAATGTAGCTGAAAATCTTTCTTGCTTTGGCTTACAGTGTCTACCAAACCTAAATATCTGCCCCTAAAATATAGTATGTTCTTGGACTTGCCACTCCACTTTCCGATCTTGTTGGTCAATGAGGAGGTTGGACCAGATGAGTTTCCAAGTCTCCTACAAGTTCCACCCCTTAACATGCCCATAAGTTGTTAATTAGTATTATTTTTTCATGACTTAGAATCTTAAGAAAGCTGCCCTGTCTTTGTCCTAGTTACCATTTTCCTATACCTTATACTTTAGATTACAGAAGAATGAAAGTGAGATTGCACATGCAGGGCTATTTCTTTGCTTTACTTTCTTTTCAATATTTGGCAGCCTAGTTGACTGTGTTTGCGTAATTTGGGGGTCTTCTATACCTTATAATGCAACTGAGATACTTAATATGAAAAGTTAAATAAATGCTCTGCTTATAATTAGTAAATAAGTCATTCTGGGAAGGCAGCTTTCATGAACTAAATCATTCATTTAGCCCTGTGTGAAGGACCAGATATAGAGAATGAGAGAATAAACTCTGCCTCCCCGAAGATCACAACCTAGATTGGGAGAGACACAGACATAATTTGGACATAGTGAGAGGCACAGCAGTTAAAAGTTTAGTCTCTGCAGACTGATGACTTAGGTCTGAATCCTGACTCCGCCACTTACTATATGTATGAACTTGAGTAAGTTACTTAACTTTTCTAGCCCTGTTTTTTCAGCTGTAAGATGAGAATGATATTACTTACCTCATAGAGTTGTTGTAAGGATTTAAAGCATTTATATATGTAAAAGTTTAAAAGGGTGACTGGTGCATGGGGTTAAATATTAGCTATTATGAGGGTATCATACCAGCTGACCTCTAACTGTATATTCCCACAACTTGTTATTTGTCCTCTGCCCCACATCCCGACCCCAACAATGTCACATTATCTTGTATTTCTAAGTCTTTGCTCATCTCTCCATAGTGATCTCTTTTAGTAAGTAATCCTTTTCACCTACTGTTAAATCATCAAATTCGTACACTGTATCCCTTCTTACTTGAGTGGTTCTGCCGTAACCTGGCTAATAGCATGGAAGGTGCCCAGTAAATACTGGTTGATTAACCGAAGGTACTCAGTGTCAGATACAGCTTTCACTGGCATAGACCAGAGGCTGGCAAACTTTCTCTGTACACGGCCAGAGCATAAATATATCTCCCTCTGTGGGCCATATGGTCTCTGCTGCAACTGTCACAGCGACTCCACTCTGCCCCTGGAGCGCCAAAGCAGCCAGAGACAATACGCAAACAAAAGGGCGTGGCCACGTTCCAATAAAACTTCCGTTTCTTACCTAATTTTTTAATTTTGAAATACTTATTGATTCACAAGTTGAAAAAAATATATACAGGGAAGTTCTGTGCACCCTTCACCCCTCAATGGAAGTTCTATAATACAATACCATGGTATCTCAGGCAGAGATTAAGACCCGTAACAGAATGATGTTATTTCCATCTTCTCCTACTCCCAACCTCTGATCTCACACCAATCAGGTAAGTATGTGGCCAACGAGAGTCTGCTGAATTGAGCGAAGCTCACTATCGGCCTGTCACTCTGGGCTTTCTAGGTCTCTTACGCTTTTTACAGCTTGAACTATAAAGCTGATGACTAGAATTCACTCACCCAAGAAGCAAAGCAATTTTAGCTGTGCCAATCTGAGCTAACATTTCATAATTTTAATCCTCACATATTCAATTAACAGATGGACACATCACATTCATCCATTAACCAAAAGGAAAAAAGGTAATTTCTTTAATGTACACCTGGGAAAGACAACTGTAATCTAGATTTGTACATTCAAACATAATGCAATTTCATTATTAGAGCAATTTAAAGCTACTAAAAACATGATGGGTAGATGAAAAGTTGTTTCATTTATAGTAGTTTTGTTTATTTTTAAATCACAGTGGTCCATAATTCTTTCATAGACTGAAATTGTGGCATTTGGTAGGGATTTATTAATTGTAAAAGTGGCTCACCAATCTCAGCTAACCTGGTGGGGCCAAGAGGGTGATTATGTTTTATATAAACAAATATGATGGCTTTAGAGGTTAATTTTTTTTCACATTACCTAGAAAAAGGAGAAAGAATGAATTTTCTTTAAAAATCAGGCAAGACAAAAATGAACTATTCTGGTATCTCAATAAGAAAAAAAAAAAGGGCTTGTACTGTTCTGAGAATAATATCCAGAGTTCCATCCATATTAACATCTTTTTATCAAGATAATATATAAACTGAGATTAAGAGCCAGGGTTCCATCCATGCTAAATATTGTTTAACTTCCTATAAAGACTATTGGAAGTAAAACAGACTAACTGAATAAATCCAGAATGCTCATTTAAAAAAAAAAAAAAGGCCTTCAGGTGTTAAAACAAAACTTGGTTCCAAAAATGACACTTGATAACCTCCCTACTTGTCTCTCCTGACCACCCACTATTGAAGTGACTGTGGAAACTAATAAACAAAAGATTTGTGCCCCAAATAACTTCCCTTACTTAAAAGGTAGGAAAAAGAAAAGGTCGAAGCCAAGTCTACACTGGGTCTTTGAAACAGTTCTATGCTTCTAATTTTTATATGTGGTGAATTTATTTCAGAGGAATTAATAAGTTATCTTACGACAGGCATGAACCCAACAAGTGTACAGAAAAAAGATGTACAAGTTCAAAAGAAAATTTCCTGCCTAACCTTTACGTTCAGAGATCCATAAGTAAGAGTTGGTTGTGTCAAAAATTTAATTTTGATCAGGTGACAAAGCGTGTTTGTATTCCTAGGAAAAATAACCAATCTTATTGACTGATATTTTGGGATACTTGAGGGTTAATTAAATAAGCAATGTGGGAAAGTGGTCAATGTGCTATAAGGTGCAATTTTTCTGTAGGATTAAACTTCAAAACTCAGCAATTTCACACTCGAACCAACTAGTTAAGTCAACTAAGCAGATAAGTTGGCAGCTCCTGTAAAAACCCCAATGCCTTTTAGAAGGATTTAAAAATCGGATCATGACTGGATTGACTTTGTAATTTATGATCTGTTAGGATAAAGCTGTTGAATTAATTCAAGAATTCTACATTACCAAGTACATAAAGATAAAGATGTTGGTTTTAAATGTTATTTTTGCATAAGTTTACTTACCGCCATATAAGCATTTGTTCCAACATACGTCTTGGCTATAGAATTCACCAGCTATGAGACAAAACAGTCTGTTAGAACAATATAAAGATAATGTGGAAATAAAATGGGCAATTATTCCTCATTTAACCTACAATCATCATTTCTATAAATCAACTAAAAATTATGTAAAAGGGAACAAATTTATCTACAAAGGCATTAAAAATGATTAAATCTCTCTTTTCTTTTGAATGTGATTTCCAATTTAAACAAGCACAGCATTACAGTTTATAGCAGATAACCTTAAACAATTCACTTAAGCAGGATGCTTATCGCTTTAGTACCCCAAACCCGCCTGATATAAAAAGTCAATTTGAAGTAGAATTTGAACACACTCATTTTTTAGTCAGATGGCTCAGGATATGAATGAAGCCTGTGCATTACGAGAATGGAATGAACACTAAATACGCTGGAGGGATAACAGACTTTGACAGCCCATAATACAACGATGACCTTCGCTTTGGTCTTCGTGTTTGGCTGGGAGTAAAGGTGGCTGCAATTCAAATCAACATCACAGCACGCTCATGGGTCACTATCACCGGGGTTCTCAGGGGAGGCCCAAAATGGAAATTAATTAAAATTTGTGCTGCACATTGTAATGGCCCTCCACCATTGTTGCTCCCAATATTAATTTTTATTGTGGGCCAGTTGGGCTCCCCAGGCACAGCTCCCACTCTGCCCTCCCTTTTGTCTGGTCAAAACGCTTTCATATCAAAGCTGCATATCAATGAAGTTTGCTATTCGTAAGTAGTAATTACAATATCAGCAGTTTTTACTGTCATTAAACAATGAACAATCATATTCTGATGAAGGAAACTCGCTCGGAGATTAAAAATGAGTAACAGACTCCCAGACGAGGAGAAGATGCAGAGGTCTGTTTGTCTGGCAGCTAGGTGATTTTTCAATCCAAAAAGTAGACTGAAAATAAAAAGTGAATGTTGCAGAAAGGAGAGCAAACGGGGGGGGGGGGGGGGGGGGGGGAAGAGACCTACCTGAGTGCTAACTCCAAAATCGCACAGCTTGACCTGTCCTCTTGTGTTTACTAGCATATTGGAGGGCTTCACATCTAAAAAGGGACCAGAAAAGTCCACGTGACTAATTCCGGATCTATAGCGCCATGTTTTAAAAAAAGCACACATGCACACCATACCATATTGCAGAAATGACATCATCTGTTCAACCCGGAATTCTAATCACAAATTTAACGCAAAGCATTTTATCTGGAGGCAAAATGCAAGGTCCTAACTCCTTTACTTCCAACTATTTCTGGTTTCTATGGAAGCAAGGGTTCATTTCAAGTGAAAGTCAAATAAAATCTTGGCTTCCCACAACAGTAAATACATCCATCATCCTATCACCAGGCTTTCAGGAGAAGTAGGTGGATTAGAAAATGTAATCTTCTTGCAAAGAATTTGCACAAAAAGGTTTAGCTTTGCTGTCGATGTGAAACTATTCCTCCCACTTAAGAAGCAGTAAGGCCAAAAGGAAGCCAACAAGAAAAAAATCATTCCTATGCTGCTGGTAACAGGTCATATCTGAATGAAAAAGGACAAAAAGAATGCAGTCTTGTTATCTTACTGGTTTTATGTGACAAACGCTGTTTCTTAGAAATTGGTCTAAAAGGCATGTGGATGTGTGTGCATATATGCACGTATTGATCTTTGTTTCATTTCTCCTTCTCTTCCCTTACATCACTTTTGACTGCTGTTATAGTTAACAAAAGAAGTGACATAGCTTTTGCCAAGGCAGTCGGTTGCAAATAATGACACAAAGGGTTTCTGTGAAGCATCGTCAGTGACAACAATGAGCCATTTCAGGAATTCAGGGAGCCCACAAAAACCATCCGAGCAGGACAAGAGCGCGCCACTGTTGATGGTACAGAATAGCACCTGCTTCAATGTCTTATCTTCAATGGCAAAAGTGGTCTGGAACAGACAACTTGTTATATTTAATATAGCCGTAACCTGAATTACCCCCAAACTGAACAAGAGACTCAATTTTTTATGCGACATTAAAAAATATGTGAGTTAATCCACCCCGACCTTCCATTTTGCAAAAGGTACACCAACAAAAGTATCTTGCCAATAGCAGGTACTTAATTTAAACTTCAAGTTCAAACTCAGTAACCAACAACTATTGAAGCCTACTTCCTATGTGATAGGTGATGTGCCAGGCACTTTCTCATACATGTGCTCATTTCACGTTGCCTGACTGACACGAGAATGTAAATGCCAAGAACGCAGGGACTTTGTTTCTTTTATTGACTACTGTATTCCCAGCCCCTAGAAGAGTTTCAGGGCTGTAAGTGCTTAATAAATATTTGTTGAACAGGGGCACCTGGGTGGCTCAGTTGGTTAAGCGACTGCCTTCGGCTCAGGTCATGATCCTGGAGTCCCTGGATCGAGTCCCGCATCGGGCTCCCTGCTCGGCAGGGAGTCTGCTTCTCCCTCTGACCCTCCTCCCTCTCATGTTCTCTGTCTCTCATTGTCTCTCTCGCAAATAAATAAAATCTCAAGAAAAAAAAAAAATTTAAATATTTGTTGAACAGATGAGAGAATAAACGAATGGAAACCATACACACAAAGTATGATTTGATGTTGATCATTGTTTCAGTGATCAGGGGTAGGCTATAGAACAGGTCTCAGCAGCAGCATGCCCTTCACACAAGACATACTATATACTTCCTTTAGGGGCACTCTCTGGATACAAGTTAGGATGCCTAGGCTGGTATACGTTCTTTTACCAGCTAGTCTCTCCGTCTCCAACTTTCCTCAATTTGAATTATAAATCTTATATCACCATCATATTAAAATTACCATGTTTACTACGTCATCTCTCTCCTCGATGAGGAAATAAAATAGTCCCTGACCTCTGCTAACCTAAACGTGAACTCCGAGTTAGCCCGATACATAGGTATTGTAGATAGCCAGAGTAGATACTCAATAAATGTTTGGTGAACTGAAAGAAATGTTAGACTCCACATAGGCTGGTCTTATTTTCCAAATCCAATTCTCATTATAGGCCCTCAACTTTGAGTATTTTTCTTTTGGACAACCTGCTCTTTTATATATTGACAGCTTTAAACCACTCTTAAGCTACCACATCAGGTGGAGACAGTTAATAAGCAAATATTTTGAGCTCCCGGAAGAAGGAGCTGCCTGGAAATCACGAGGTACGCCAAAATTAACAAATCTTTAGCTTTAATCAGATACACTTTTGACTCAGGTCAATCAATAGAGAGAGGAGCAATAAAACGACAGAATTGCTAGATTATACTCTAAAAGGCAAGGTGTAAATAAGAACTTCATTGAATTTTTCAGCTCTCCAACATCTTTTTTAATTTACATGCAAGCTTGCTCTGTGACTTTTGCACATTCACCTCCCAGCCTAGTTCTTCTCAGGGAAAATTTCATCTATGAAAGTAGTAAACATCCACTCATCCTCATATCCTTTGTATTCCACCTGGGCTGTTCTGATCATTGTCTCAGAAGAAAGAAAACACCCCATCACCAAGCCCTTGTTCATGCTGTGTGTTCCTCTCTCCCTCCTGCCTGTCCCTAGGTTGAGAAACCCTTCTGCAACATTTCCTGAATGAATCCTGCCTATACTTCAACTCAAATACCCCGCCTCCCTGTTGCCTTAACTACTCAGGCCAAGAAAGTCTCGGCTTCCTTTGACCTGCTAACGCATTTACTGTCTGTGCCATTTCTTTGGAACTAAGTATGTCACACGGTTTGACTAGCAGTTATTTACCATATTTACTGGTGTAGGTATTACCACCCCAAGTAATAAGTTCACAGGGTAGGAATATGCTTCACACATCATTGTGTGTATTCTGACAACTGTACCTTGTTCACTGGTTAATGGCTTTTTAAACAATATGCTAAATTTGCTAATAGAAGTACCTCCAGCCCCTGCCCAGTAGTATCTTGAGACAACATTTGAACATAAGAGACCTCTTTAACATAACATAATAAAATTTAAAAAAAAAAATCAAAGAAAAAAAATAAATAAAAAGAGACCTCTTTAAACAAAAACAATGGATTCAGGCTAGGAGACAGAGGACCGGCATTTTGGTCCTTTTGGCCCAGCCACAAACTTGGCATGTGAATTTCACAAGGCAGGTGACGTTTTAGTTTCTTCCACTGCAGGGAGACAATAATAGCCACTGTGTCAATTTTAAAGAACTGTGAGGATTAGATGAGATAATGAATGTAAAATTGCTTTTAAACTGCCAAACACTCCATAACTATAAGGTATTATTATCTACTGGTAATCAATGAAACTGTTATACAACAAAAAGTGGTATATTTTGGTATATTTAGGAAGTAATTTGTTGTTGTTGCAGCAAATTTTAGCTGTATTTCAGTAAAATACTAGCTAAAATAAGGTAATTCCCAAAGTGCAATAAGTAGAACTATAAAAACAATTTAATGTTCATGAGGAGGCATTTTTGTCAGACCATGTGCACATATTCCTCAACAAGGCTACTGGTCTCCCTGTATTTATGCTTCCTCTACCACAGTCTGTGTTGAACACAGCAGCTAAAGTGATCCTTTTATTTATTTTTAAAAATTTTTTAGAGTTATCCTTGTAAAGCTAAATCAGACCATGTCATTTTTCTGCCTAAAACCTCCAAGGGCTTCCCAGCTCAACACAAAAGCAGCCCTCACAATAGTCTATGAGGCCATCTCTGAGCTGGTCCCCACTAGCCCTGTGCTCACACCCTTCCTATTCTTTTCTCTGCCCAGTCTGCTTCAATTCACTGGCCTCCTTGCTAGACATGCTCCTGCTTTGGAGTTCCATATCCCTGGAATACTCTGCTCCCATATATATGCATAGCTTGCTCCTTCATTTCTTTTTTTTTTTTTTTAAGATTTTATTTATTTATTTGAGAGAGAGAGAATGAGAGACAGAGAGCATGAGAGGGAGGAGGGTCAGAGGGAGCAGCAGACTCCCTGCCGAGCAGGGATCCCGATGCGGGACTCGATCCCGGGACTCCAGGATCATGACCTGAGCCGAAGGCATCGCTCAACCAACTGAGCCACCCAGGCGCCCCTCCTTCATTTCTTTTAGGTTTCTATTCAAATGTAATCTTGATAAGAGAAGGCTTCCCCAGTCACCCAGTAGGAACAGCAGTACCTTCCCATCACAGATGTCTATATAAATCTGTTGGCTCAGTTGTCCACTCTTGAAGGGAACCTCCACAAATGCAGGGACTTATCTGTTTTGTTCACTACTATATCTAGAATGGTGTCTGGTAGTGACAAGAAACCATATTTGTTGAACAAATGGTTAATGAATGATATCTCTTCTAAACAGATGGGGAAATGTGCTCATCCAGAGAATTTGACCCGAGAAGGAGCTGAATCTTCCCCACTTAATGGCATATACTTCAGAATGAATACAGTTCACTATTAATGAACACATTTTTAAATGACATTTTTCATTCTGGAAAGAATCCATAGTCATTCAAAAACATGTATTCAACAAGTATTTACTGACACCTTAGTATGTGCCAGATATAATGGTAGGTGATGTGGAGAGAAACATGAGTAAGACCTTGTCTCTGCCCTTCAGGCAAATGCAGGCCAGGGACCTGCTGGCATATTTTTTTTTTTTAACCAAAATACAGCACGTGAGATTTCAGGATAACAACACTGGTTATGTATAATTGAAATGGAATTCTCTTCCTGAATAATTGGCATGCTTCCTATAATAAAAACAATGAGAATCATGCAACTAAAGAGCTTCCCAAACTTGGCTGTGCATTTAAAAACAACAAAAACCAAACCAAAACAAAAACCAAAAGCCAACTTTTGAGTTCCACCTCAGATCTACTGAATTAGAAGCCAAACTAACAAAGCCTGGTCTTCAGACCAGCATTTAGAAAAGATTAACATAACTTCCTGTATTGCTTCTGATTTAACTACTGTCCAGTTAAAAATATCTGAAGAGAAATTTCTTCTCTTATTTTACTTTTTAAAATCAATTTATTCATTTAAAACACCAATTTTATTGCAATCATTTTGAACGTATAGTTTGATGAGTCTGACAAATGTATAC